GATGAATCTTTCACAATTACATGAAATGGAATCAAAAGCAAACTTTAAATTAAAAGAGTAGTTCTAAAAAAATAAGAACTTTTCTTGTCAGCATGCTGCAGCACGCTTGGTAATTGGTTCAAAACAGTAAGTTATACTGGTCCTAGCTGACAATGATGTTGACGAAAATTAAATAAAAAAAAGATGTTGGAAAAGTTAGTCAAGTGTGATATACCCAAGCAGTTTGATATGGGGAAACTAAAGTTACTAGTTATCAACAAGTCAACTGAGCTATTTGAGCTGGTAGGTTCCCAGAGTTGGATCTTGTTTATGGTTGCAGGTATTCCTTTTGGAGAGGTGAAGAAGTGGCTCAAGGGAGATGCCAGTGAAACATTTTATCTATTTAAAAGGTTTTTGAAATCCATTGAATGTGTTAATGACTGCACTGAAAGAAATATCCGACTAATCCAGGCTTTTGTTGGAGGCTACAGTTCGAATGACATAAAACAAAACATCATGCTTGTTGCCAGAGACAGCAGAAAAAACCTAAAGAAAGAACTAACAAAGAAGCAACTTATAAACATTTAATTTTTAAAGTTAAAATATATATTTTTAAGAGTTACTAAAATGCATAGTTTTTTTGTAAAAATTGCTTTTTTTCTTAAAGTTGAAGTTTTACAGGTATCACTTTTACAAAAGCAAAAATAGTTTTTTTGCTTTTTTTTTAGCCTATTTGGACCTTAGGGAATTGGAAAACATTGAGAAGTATTTTTTTTTTTTTTTTGGTACACCCTATAGACCATGCATATAGTTCTTTGTTTTAACAACTTAACCACAGCTCTTTGCAAGTTTTGATAATTAGCACGATTAAAAAATGCGTTAAAAAAAATAAAGCAAATTAAAATAAACAATTCATAAACTGAAAAGAAAATAAAATCCTTAACAAAAATATATAATACAAAAATTAACCTAAAAAAACAAAATCTTTAAAGAATGATAAAATAAATTAAGAAAAACCTGGAAAAAAAATCAAAGCATTTATAAATTAATGTAAACTTAATTGTAAGCGAAAGTAAAAAAAAAATTAACACAGATCTAATAATCTTTATTATTCCTTCCCATGAATAAATAGGCTAATGCAAGGGCGGATCCATAGTGAGGGAAAGGGTCATTAGGGCGTCTTCTCGCTCCAGCTTCTCCCACTCCTCCCCTTCCCCCTCAGATTTTTTTTTTTTTAATTGATGTTAAAAAATATAAGTAACTTAGGCTGTTTAAAAGTGCCATGAAATTTAAGAAAATTTTGTGATGCAAATTTAAAATTTTATTAAAAAGTTAATAGGATACAGGGTGCGACAAATCAACAAATGTGCGCCCATTTCTCTGTCTTAAAAGACAGAGAAAAACAAACATCACTTTTCTTTAATTTTGCTTATGCAAACGTTGCCATTCGGTTAAGATTTTTCAAATCGCATTACTTTAGCAATTTTTTTCAAAATAATTTTAATCAATAGTTTTTTATTTATTATAAAAAACATTTATTTAAAACGAAAAAAAAATTAATTTCAGAGTCTTTATTGTTATTATTAAAATTAATGACCAAAAAATAATTACTTTTTTCAATAGTGTCACTTTTAAGTAAAATAACTAAGTACGCTATAGAAGAAAGTAGTTATGTTCTAGCATGTTTTTTGCATGCGCTCCCAAAAGCATGTCTAATTTTACTTTAAATGAATGCTTTTTCATAAATTTTAAAAGAAACCGTGCTTAAACATTTCAATTGCTTTCTTTTATTGAAGAAATCGACCATAATGTTTAAGCGTGCTTTCTTTTATGTTTTTATCAATTACATTAAAAGTTTAAAGCAAATGAATTCATTATAAATAAAATTTTGCATACTTTTTTTTTAAATTTTCTTATTTTTCTTAAAGTGAAATAATGTTTGTTTGCATATTAAAAGCACTTTTAATATGCAAACACTCTTAAAGTGAAATAATGTTTGTTTGCATATTAAAAGCACTTTTAAAAGTTTTTTTTATTGTGCATTTAACATTAATTTGCGCGCACTTTAGAAATTTGTAAAAGTTTTTGAAAAATAAAAATTGAATAAAATTACCAAGCATCTTTGATATATTTAATAACTTATTAAATAGAATAAAAATGATTTCAATTTATTTGACATAAATCTCTTAAATTAGATGTTTGTCAATAAATAAAGATACGCAAGTCAATGTTCATTAAAAAAAAAAATATATATGTTTTATGATGTCAGGCCCTGCGATAAAAATAGTTGTCAGATAGGATTGTTTCAAGATTATTGTAATTCATTTTTTTTTAGTAAATAATTTCTTTATTAGAAATTATATTTCCATGATAAAACGATTTGTAATTATTTTCTGTACTCATTTTGCCTTAAACTCTAATCTGAATATTTTTTTAATGATTGCCTTATATTAAGTTGCATTTAAGTACTCAGGAAATTTTGGTAGTCTTATGACAAGGCCTGCGGACCTGTTTTTTTCTTTTTCTCTTTCTCAAACTAGTCAGGTACTTTATCTTTTTTTTATTATCTAATCATTTTTTAATAATTTTTTATTCTTTTTCTTCAAAATGGTCAGGTAATTTACTTTATTCCAAGCATAGCCTTCTAAAATAACAAAAGGTTGACAAAAAATAAAATGTAATTACTTTTATTTAAAATAAGGTCTGTTTCTAAAGGTTTGAAAGTTTAAAAACTTCTCTTTAGATTTTAATGCAATCTTAGTACTAAGTTTAATGTAATTATTGTAACAGCCCTAGGAACTAGGGTATGCAATTAGGTATGTTAATAGTTGTAATTTAATGTAACAATCAAAGTTTTAGAAACATCCAATGATTCTATGGAAACCTATAAAGATTTTACTATTTTAAATAATTTTAATTTGTAATTTTTAAACATAATCTCAATGATAGTTAAAGATAAATCTCTAGAGAGTTAATTACTAAATAAGGGAATAATAAAAACAGATTTAGAACCACTCTTTTCTCTTATGCAGTGACATGTGACAAATTTGTAGTTTAACTTGCTTAGGTTGGTATCAGTATAGTGCACTTTTAAAAATTTAAAAGAAGTCTTTTTAATTACCTTTTTGATTATGTAAACTAACAAAAAAAATATGGAAACTACCTAAAACAACAGCTTCAGCAAAAGCTTTTATCAGAGTAAATCATAAATAAAATGAGTTTTCATAGTAGTAGATATAATAAGTGTGAATCTAACATAGTAGTAGATATATGCAGAATTGTTAACAAGGCCTAAAATAGCAAGGCCAAGGCCACAAGTTACAAGGCCAAGACAAAGGCCAAAAGTTATAAGCCCACAAACAAGGCAAAGGCCAAAGAGTTTTAAGGTCAAGGCCAAGATTAAGAATTTCAAGGCCAAGACGTATGCAAAGATTTTTAAGACTTAAGACTTCAATTTTTGCCTTATGTTAAGGTCAATTCTTCACAAAACTGTAATTAGCAAGTACTGTGAAAATAAAACCATATTTTATAAAAATAGACCAAGATTATGTGCAGAATTCGAAAAAAATCAAAAAGAAAATTTTTTTTTTTTTAAGACCAAGGCCAAAACAATCAAAGCTAAGGCCAAAATTTTCAAGAACAAGGCCAAAGTTTTCAAGAACAAGGCCAACAGTTTTAAGACCAAGACCAACAGTTTCAAAGCAAGACCAAGGCCACAATTTTTGGCCTTATGGCCAGGCCAAGACCAAAGCCAAGCACTAACAATTCTGGATATATGTAAATGTGAACCTAACACAGTAGTAGATATATGTAAGTTTAAACTCTACATATTAGTAGATGTATGTAAGTGTGAAGTTACTATAGTTGTAAATGGATGTAGTAGATGTAAGTGTGAAGTTACTATAATGGTTAATGAATGTGTTAGTGTGAACTATTAATTTTTGATGTAAAGTTATACTTTAAAAGCTATTATATTATATTTTATTTTTTGTTAATATTTCATATTATTCTTTGATACAGCAACAAAAACTAAAATCTTTGATGCATAAAAAGAAAGATAATTGTTTAATAATTGGTTGCATAGTATAAACCAAAAAGGTGTCTTAGAAAAAATACACAATTTAAAAAATTAATTTTTCATAAATGTTTTCTTAAAAATCCATTAAAAACCCTCTGAGAAATTATTAATGAATAAAAACAATCAAGTTTTTTTTAATCAAGCAAGTTGGAAACTATTAGTCTTTGTCTAATTGCACATGATTTAAGGGGTTCTGTTTCATAAAAATCTTTTTTTTTTTTTTTTTTTCCATGAACATTTGAAAATATGCAGAATATTTTGTTGGGTAATGAATCAGAATATAATATTTTTGGGTCTGATGGCAAAATAGAAATAATACCTAGTAGACAACAAGAAGTTTAAATCACAAAGATTAAAATATTAAGTTATGGGGTTTCAGGAAATTTTGAAAAACTTTTACTGTATGCTAAGTATAAAATGCCATTAGTTTGAACTTTCAAGCAGGATGATGATCCAAAGTGTACAAAATTTTTTTTGCAATAAGAAAAACAAGTTTTAAAAACTTTTATTTACAAAATGGTAAACCACAACATGGCTGTCCAAATAAGTTATGTGTTTTTTTATATATATTTTGATTTTTTGATATATTTTGATTTTGATTTTTTTAAATATCTTATTTTAAAGCCCAATTTTTACTCCAATAAAATCATTAATTCAATAGTTTAATAAATTGTTAAGTTCTGGCAAAATCTTTACAACAATGATTATTTACTTTATTATGACTTTATTATTTTGTTACTTATGATAGTAATCTATTTTTATATAATTTATTTCTCTATTTCTTTTGATGGTTATCTACTTTTATATAATTTATTAATTTATTCCTTATGATGGTTATTTACTTTTATATAATTTATTACTCTGTTATTTATCATAGTAATCTACTTTTATATAAATTATTACTCTATTTCTTATGGTGGTTATCTACTTTTATATAACTTAGGTCATTGATGATAATGAGTTAGAACGAAACTCATCAGTCGGACAGACCAATCAGTATGAAGCTGACCTTAAGGAAGAGGTTATTGTAACAGAATTAGAGTTAATTGATAAAGAAATTGAACACAATCATGTTCAGCCTCCTCCTATGAGTTTTAACGATCCATTAACCAGCATGCATTACAAAGATACACTTGATATTACAGATACTGACAGTTTAGGTCCTTTAACAAATGATCTTTATTATAAAAAAGAAGAAAAATCGGTTCAATCTACAGAAAGGTCTCTCAAGATGCAAGATGCAAAAACTAGTTTGCGCCAATTTTCATTTAGTATTTTAACAAACTCTGATAGCACACTAGCTAATATTGAAAAACATCAAAATTATGGACTTTTTATTTCATCTGAAGATCAAGACCGTATTAAGGAATTTGTTTTTGAATTTTGTGTTCGCGGTTTACTTCCACATATAGAAAAATTGATGAGGACAATATCTGAGCAGGTATACATATTTTTTACATTAATAAAACAAAGTACATGATTATTAATAGTCATTTATTGGTAGATAAAACTATTAAAAGCTAAAATTAAAACGCCTCTTGGCTTTAGAGACAAAATATATAACAAAATGCCGCTTTTTAATAATTTGCATAGTCATCATTGATTAAATTTTAATATCTCAATAAAACTGGTATAAAAATAAACTTGTTCTTATTTTTCCTGTTGTTATTGCAATTGCTTTTTTTATGTACTAATAATTTTTTTACAATGATGTCTTCAATCTTTAAATTATTATTAGTTAAAAAAAAAAGCAATAGTAAAAAATATACTGAAAAGGTTATAAATATATATATGTTGGAAATATATATGGGTTGGAAATATATATGGGTTTAAATTTTTTGTGTGTGATAATGTAACAATCATCGTATATACAACAGCAACAGCAACCAATACATAATAATCAAAGTGTTGCATTTTTTTCTGCCTATTTAATCAGCTGCTGATTTAAGCATTTAGGGTAGATTAGGGTAATATGAGCACCTTGATAATATAAGCATGCTTAAAGATTTCTTAGATGTGATTTCTTAGCAGTAAAGTTGAAGTTGCTTTTTCAAATCAACTTTATGTGGTGATAACATGAATCAGTGCAATTTGCGTAAATTAATTAATTAGTAATTAGCGGCTATCATTTAATTAAAATGCGGTTAAATTTTTTGTGTTGTTAAAACAATATCATCACGCATGAATGAATCTGTGACGTGTTTATTTGGTGTTAAAATAATGAAATTAATATTAAAGAAAAATATGTTACCTAAATATCCAATCCATTTTTGTTTGAAAAACAATGCATTTAGTTTTGACTTTATTTAGAAGTATAATTTTTTTGTAATATGAGCGTGATCAAATTACCTGGTGTTTTTCATTGAAAGTCATAAAGTAACAGTGGTTTTAATTGATTTTCGAATAAAAGCAAAATATAGTAAACAAATTTAATATTTTAACAATACTTTTCTTAACAATATTTTTCTGAAATTTAGAATCAAAAAATTTGAATTTTTATTGTTCAAATATTTGAGTTAATAAAATTGAAAATAAAACAAACAAGTTATTATTATTATTAACATAGTAGAATAAATCATATAAAAAGAATAAATGAGTTGTTATTAGAAAAAGAATATTAATAATATACTTATATAAGTATACAAACATACATTATTTTTTTCACGGTTTTTCTATCTGCATTAGGTTTTCTCTGTTAAAATTATTTAGTTTTTCATTTATGCTAATGTTTTTAACCAAATTTTTTATGTAGTTTTATTTAATGTAGTTTTAAATTTAAATAAATATTAGAACGTTTTTTTTTTCAATACCTTATTTGTCTAAATAAAATAAGTTTTAGATAAGGTAATAAAATCAAGCTTTTCTAACTGTAGAAGCTCCTTCAGTTGAGGAAGTTAATAATTCTACACCATAAATATGAAAGGGTATTGTATGCCAGCATCCAAATAGCAAACATAAATGTTTATGTTCATAATATGTATGCATAAAGTGCATCTCACAAGCTTTTATTCCTTCTGGACTAAAAGTTTGGAAGCTTTTATTCCTACTCTTCAATTTTAAGTAAAACCTCATTCTACTCCATATTCTTCACCATCTTGAGCAGTTGCTTTATTAATCATTTTTTTCATTTTTTTTTACAATACATCTCTCTTAAGAACAAATGTCCTTTTATTATTCCAAGAAGCCAATGTAAAAAGGTCCCGTTCGATGTTAAGCTCTGTTATTCTCAGTTTACAAAATCTTTTATCTTATATCAGATGTTAGGTTCTAGAGACTTTTGGTTAGTCTTCAACAATGTCATTAACTAAAGTAAGTCGAACATTTAATCTTATTAATTATATAATATTTAATAAAATTTAATTTTTAAGTACTAAATAAATGGTTCTAATTTTTCAAAATTCTAGAAAACACCTTGATCTCTCCAACTATTTTACGATTAGTCTTCACTCTGTTTTTTTATTTTCTTTATATAAAGATTTTGAGATTATTAAATTATTTCTTACTATCTTTAAGGGTACCACAAGGTATCTTGTGGTAGCCTTAAATCTTTGCTCCTGTTTTGTTTCTTATCTACAACATCAATCTACATGAAAATTTAACATCTAAAGTGGCTCTATTTGTTGATGACTCCACTTTATACTCTTGTCTTGACAAAAATGTTCACTTTTTAATTGCTTAGAACAACAGCTGATTTTTTATCTGATCTCATTTCTGTAACAGCCTAAGACTAGCTGTGGCTAGTATTTAAATTCTGGACAACAAAATTCATTTATTTACTGCAAAAAAAATATTGCAATAATGTTGGTATTTCCTATATTGATGAATAAAAACCTACTTACTTTCAGTCAAACTCTAAAAGCACATTGTAAATTTGATGCGGTGGTGGTGTAGAGGTAGAGCGCTCACATCATAAGCAAGAGGTACTGAGTTCGATCCCCACCATGTCCCTGGTAGTACCACACTCAACTTGCTTCTTTGCCTAGCGGCCTTGGTTGTCAAGGTTCGTGTTTCAGAGTTATATAGTTGAGCAAGGGTTCAACTATATAACTTCGAAACACGATAATACGATAAGCCAAAACTCATTCTTGCTTGTTTCTTATTCAACAAGTTGTATTCTTTTACTGTATCTGTCCCTTTATGCTATAAAAACTTTTGATAACTCATTTTTTTCCTTGGTCATCAAAAAAATCTTATTACTATTAGCCATCTTCATGTTTTTCTTTTATATACAACCTACAACTTTTCAAGTGAACAGTTAACCATTTCCTAGTATTTTTACTTCTCTATTTTAAAGTAACTCATAACTTAATAGTGGTTGCTTGCAATCTTGTTGGAAGTAAATTAAAGTTTGAAAATATATAAATATATGGCAGTATTTAATAAATAGTAAATGTAAGCACAAAATTGTAATATATAAAGTATTATAAATTTTTTTCTAGCCCGGCTATCAACCCCTGCTAAATCTTATAGTTTAGCCGGGGCCCGGTTTGAAAAGTCTCATTTTTAGCCGGGGCCCCAGTCACTATCTAGTTACAAACTTGTAAGCATTTAACATGAGAGAAGGATAAACTTAGGATGAATGTGGCAGAAGGATAAACATTACAGAAGGATGAATGATGATTCTATTGTGATTAAAGGCATCTAATATGATGAAAGACATGAGGTTATGCCACTTTGATGTTAGTTTTGCATGAAGTAGCTTCAAATTGGCAGCATTTCCAAAAAATATCTCTGTATTTTTTATGTTTTCTATAAAGTAATTCAAATAATTTTAATTTCTGATTTTAATTTCTTTTTTGCAATATTTTACCTAAGTTATGATCTAATTCTTCAGCTTCATTTGAAATGATTTCTTTCTCTGTAAAGAAAATAGGTGGCATATAAATGACATAAATTACTAATAAATTTTTTCATTTGATAAAAATAACAAATATCTGATGATGATAAAGGTAATAAATAAGTTTTATCATTTGCAGTAGCATTATTAAATAGAAATGACAATGCATATTGGTTTCATTTTCACTGGAAAAAAAAGTTTTTTTTTTTTTGTTATTTTGGAATTCCAGCCATTCTTTAAAACATAGTTTATTTAAAATATATTTTTCATGACTGATGATGAATTGTAAACATTATTTCTTACAAGTTTATTTTATTAAGCGCAAGGTAGAAGTAAATCACTAAAATTGCCGCAATTAACAAAGGTCTCCAAAAATTGCATAATGTGTACATCTTCACACATTAAAACATTGCACAATAATTTTAAAAGTCGTCAATGGTAACAAAAGCTTTTGTCAGTTGTAACGATTATAATTAGATGATAATGATTATATTTTTACCCTAAACAAGTGTAAGGTAATCATGTGATGTTTGAATAATAGGTTTAATTTATTTATAAAATTAATTTATCTTTAAAAAAGGTTACAAAAGACAAAAGTAAATACTTTAAACAGAAACATTTATTTTATTATCTAAATTAATTACACTTTAGTATACATTTTTTTGAAAGGTTGCAGATGTTATTTTGAAAAGGTTTCAGATGTTATTTTGAAAGGTTTCAGATGTTATTTTGAAAGGTTTCAGATGTTATTTTGAAAGGTTGCAGATGTTATTTTGAAAAGGTTTCAGATGTTATTTTGAAAGGTTTCAGATGTTATTTTGAAAGGTTGCAGATGTTTTTTTTAATTAATTTATTTTTTTAAGGCTTTTATTATATTATAGAACTGCTGTATTAAGTCTTTGTTTACATTTGTTTACATCATCCATGCAGTTGTTTGCAATATCCAAACATTTTTACAATTTTATGAAGTTGTTTTCAAAATCCACACAGTTATTTAAAATATTCATGCAGTTTGAAATAACTAAGAATTATTATTTTTCGAGAAAAAATTTCCAACAAATAAAATTTTAAATTTGGAGAAAGATAAAAAAAAGTTTTGAATTTAGAAATATGTAGAATACATATTTAAATCTTTTTATTTGTAGATAACTTTTTTAAGTATAGAAATATGTTCACACAATAAGATTATTGTGTGTTAAATATTATTGTTTTTAATTATAATTAAAAAAGATTATTTTTTTAGTTTACTTTCAGTTATACTTAAGATGTTGAGTTTAAAAATTAAGTGTATAATTTTTTATTAACAGTTTGAGTTAAAGTTTGAGAAAAAAATAGTAATTTAAATTTGTTATCAGGTATATCTTTTAACATAAAAATTTGTTTGATGCTATTTAGACCCAGTTTTAGTAAGTGTTTTCAGCTTTAGTGAGTGTTTTCAGCTTGAGTGAGTGTTTTAAGTGCAGAAAACAATACTCAGTATCATTAAATCGATTGCTTTTCAGAATTTTTGAAAAAGAATCAGGAAAAAAAAAAAACAATTGGAAAGGGTTAAAATAAATGTTCTCTTAATTTTATACAAATTATAAATCTTCCTCAATAATTTAAGGCCTTAATTAAACAATTTAAAATATTGAGTGTATAGGAGTGTTTAACCTCAGCAATGACTCGGGACCAGTTGAGGAGGCTATTCTTTTTTTTTCTTTTTTTTTTTGTTACACTTTTTTCTCTACTCTTTAAAAAAGAACAGCTTGGCAAGGCCACAGAAGCAATTTTTAGGTTAGTAGCAATAAAAATGGTATATTTTAGTAACGACAATAAATAATATAATCTTAATTACAACAAAAAAAGGTCTAATTTTAATTATAACAAAAATGCAACAACAAATAAAATTGTTTTAAAATCATTCAAAAGTAGTATTATCTTAGTTGCAACGAAAGAGGTTTTGACCTCTGACTTAAATTACTCTCTGTTTATTTGGACTTTAGGTTGAGTAAAGGTTGGAAATGCTATATTAATAAAACTTCATAAAACTTGCAATATTTTAAAATCTATTTATTTTTGATTTAATGAAGTATATATATAATAAGTATATATACTTCATTAAATCAAAAATAGTTCAAGAATATAGTTGTTCCTAATAAGTTCATACTATTCTTTTACCTATTTTTTTTAATTAACAAATTCATTCATAAAAAGGCTGCGAGCAACCAGTAATCATGTTGAATTAACAGGTATTTCCAATAATTAATGGTTGCTTGCAGGTTTTCTTTCTGGTAACTTCCAACACTAAATGTTGGGAGTTAACACAAAAAATATTGTCAGAGTTAAAGAGTAAAAAAATGGTTGATAGAAGATTTAAAAAACTTTATGAAAACATGAAGTTTGGAAAAAATTACAAAATAAATTTCTAAATAAATAATTTCATAATTTCAATAAGTTCTAAATAAATAATTTCAAGGTAATAAAAATTTAGTAATTAGTCCATGGAATTTAAAAAATTTCAAAGTATTAAAAATAAATGTATTAAACTTAGCATTTAAGTAAATGGATCCAACTTTGCTGAATAATAAGTCATTCTAGAATAAGTTTAGGTTGATAAGTTAAGTGATAAAAAGTTGAACAGCGGACATAATAGTATTAATAAAAAAAATAATCATGTGCAACTTTACAACAATGAGACAGAGGTTTAAGCTTCACAGTTAGATTGCAGCCAAAAGCCAAACAACACTAAGATATAGTAGCTGAAGATAACAGTGTAGCAGTTTTTCCATCTATCATTTTTATTTCAATTTTGTGAAGGATTGACAAGTTTTCACAAAATACTGACAACAAGATTTATATATCAAATAACAAATACTATGTTATATGGGTATTAAAGTTTCATTGAGAATGTTTTGAGCTTGTTTTAATTCAATAGGTTACTTTAAGGATAAATTTCTATCTGTTTTAAAAAATAAGATATCTACTTTCTATCTTGAAAAAGTTTTAACTACTAGCATACAACATTTCGCCTGACAAACTAGTTTTAGGCTGCTACATTACAATTCTTTGTCATCTTTGATAAATCCTTAAATTATTTTTTAGGCCTAACAATAACTGTTGAATTCACTTTGTTGTATAATAAAATTTCTTGAAAATGGTTTGGTAGTCTTTTTTGTTTTCTTTTTTTGAAGCTTTTTTGAGTCATATTGTCTTCATTAATTATTTTACATAAAGACTGATGTTTGCATTATTATGACAAAAAATTGTTACAAAATGAACATCAAAATCAAAGTAGTATTCACCAACAAATTTATAAAAGTTTGTCATTTTTCTCAAACGATTCTCGCCATTGTGAAAAACTTTGTATCTTCACTTTTTCACAAGATTTCATTGCAAAAACATCAAATAATATCGTGTTGAGGAAAAAAAAACATCAAATAATATCGTGTTGAGGAAAAAAAAAACATCAAATAATATCGTGTTGAGGAAAAAAAATACATCAAATAATATCGTGTTGAGGAAAAAAAAAATTATTAAGCTAATTTTTAAGATCTACAATACTTTGAAATCAAAATTTGATTTCAAAGTATTGTAGATCTTAAAAATTAGATCAAAACAAAATTTCAGTTTTTAAACATAGGTTTTTTTTAGTTTTGCCCTTCTATTTTTTATTTATTTTGTCCACCTATATTTTATACTTTATATATAAAAAAGTCTTTATACAAAGAGTTTTTTTCAGTTTTTCCCACCTGTTGTGAATATTAATTTCTCAGAAGAAAAAAAAAAAATCAAATATAGGAGTAAGCACTATTTATTTAAAAGGTTGCTGATGATTTGGTTTTTTTTATTTGCCAATTTTTACTTTACAAACAGTATATAAGAGAATAATATATACAGTGATTTTTTGATAGATTATATCACGGAAAGGAATCCATAAGTCAATATTCAATGCTACAAAGAAATGGTTTGGTGGTAATAAAACAACTAATGTTGTTACATCATCTAACAATGGTGTAAGGTTTGAAATTTTATTTATGATATATACATTTTATTACCTTAAATGCCTTTTGTCCGAACCTGAGTTTATGTATGTATCTTTTTGTAATTTGCTATATCTGTATATTACCATCAATTACATTTTTGTATCCTTAGCATGTAAATATTAGCATACAATTCATATAAATTTTTTTTTTTTATGTATGTTTTTTATAAACAAAAAAAAAAAGTTAAACATTTGAATATTTTTCTAATACTTTGTTAATAGCTGATTATGTTTTGAAAATTATTTATAAAAAAAAGATATTTTACAAAATGCTACTTAAAAGAAGAGTGTGTGTGGGGGGGGGGGGGGTATGTGTGGTGGTGGTGGTAGGTATGGTGGTGGTGCCATTGCAACTTTTACCAACTGGAAGAGAAAAAAAAGATCTTCATTTTTTAAAATTTGGCTTTCTAAACTTACTGACTAACTTGTCTAAAAGGTACACATTGGCCGACTGACTTGTCTAAAGGGCCAAATTTGCTGACTAAATGAACTAAAAAATCATTGATAGGGGTGTTTAGGGTCACACATCCCACACACACCCATTGTTCTGGCCTTACATGCATTTAAAGTAGTTAAAAACTGTTTCTAAAGTTAAAATTTTCTATCAGCATAAAAGTTTAGCAATGCTTTTTTTTTAAATTAATCTCAACAAGTAACCACTAATTAGGTTGGGAGTTATCTTAAAACAAAAAAGAGATCTAACGAGAAAGAAAGTAAGTTATACAAATCAGGAAAACATAAATATTAGAGAGAATTCCAAAGCACGGATGTTCAAGAAACAAAACTAAATAAATGTTCTTTGACCATAAAGAACATTTACAACAATAGAATGCTCAGATGAATGAAAAGTTATACAAGATTAAGTTTTGGTTAAAGGAATAAGTAATGAAAACTTGCTTGAACAATAACCATTTGTAGTGTTCGTAGAAAATAAAAAATTTAGAAAGATCAGTAACTAAAACCATTCAGTGTGGTGAGCATTAAAGTTACTAATAGCAACAATATTGGCTGTCGGTAAAAGAGAATGACCTTTATCAATTTGATCAGAGACAGCAAAAAGTGTGTTACTACAGAGAAGAAAAAAAAATCAACGGGCATCACCCATTTTGTTAACAAGTCAAATGATAATAGTCTTTTTTGTTTTTTATTTCATACCACCTAAAATTGAAACAGCCAAATTTTAAATGGTTTCGCGAATTGCAAGTAGGTCTGCTGATTTAGTGAAAGTAAGGTTTAATGCATGAAACGTAACTTCAAAGACCACAAATATTTTCAAACCGTTAGTTTAAACAATATGATAGTAATATTTTTTAATAATGTTGTTTTGTAGTTTATTTATGTTTTGATAATTAGAAAACTTGACTATAGATAACGATCCCCATAACAAAAAGCTAGGTGATACCTTTATTCCCTTTCATCAACCCAAAGTTGTAATAAAGGGCTCTTTATATGGCTTTGAGAATGTACACCGAAAGTGCTATCAGGGACACTCTCTGTGCTCAATATGGTAATGATAAAAGTTTTACAGCTTCTCTGGAGCTACTGCAGAGTTTAAAAGTTCTTACTACTATTAGGTTGCAAAACTTTTTAACAGAGTTTTACATCTGTACCTTCCTTAAGTGATAACTTAAAGAGAGTACAGTTTCATAGCCACTACCAATGAGGCACTGGCAAGAATCTATGATTAAAATCAAGTAGATCCAGTGTTTATCATTTTAGATAGTATAATTTATAATTATCTGGCTGGATAATGTAATTTAAATCATAAAATATGTATAACCTTCAAAATATATAACCTTAAAAATGTCAAGTTTTGTTTGAAAGTTTTTCAAAATTATTGATAGCTGTGATTCTATGTGGAAAGCAGGGGATGTAATAAGTTTGGTCAGATGTCACGCAAAAAAACTTTATTGTAAATTGTATAAAGAAGAAAAAAATATTAATATTGAATCTTCTTCAGTTGCACACGGAAGTTCAAAATATATTGAATTCTGATCATCTCTTTTGTAAAAGCTGCTCAAGGAATTGTTGTTTTCTTTAATTACTCAATTATAGAAAAAAATAATAATGTTTTAAATTGGAAACATTAAGAGAAGTTTCAACTGCTAATAGAATTAGCATTTAAGTTACTAGGAACACCTGCATCCGTTGTATTTTCGTAAGATTGTTTTCATTATTTATGGGTAAAAACAATAAATGCTATCTTTATGTGAATATTAGCTTCTCCATGTTAAGATAAAAGAAACATAAATAAGCGATAAACTGATGAATTTGTTGTGCTATATAACTTTAGTAGTATTTTAATAATAGTAATAGTAATAACAATATCAAATACAAACCATTAACAGATTATTTAAAAATATAACATTTCTAGATTTTTTTCAATTTTCAAATGACAAGAACAAGTATTATGCGGTATATAAAAGTGGATAAAGTTATTATCCTGCCTGATATCGGATACCCAATAATATTCCTATCCGACCCAGATCTTTGGCCCGATGGCTTATCCGGGCACCCCATTAGATAGGAAGGATTTAACAGGTTTCCATTTATTATGGAGTATGTTGATTGAAGTATTTAGACATAATAAATTATAAATGGTCATCCAAGTATAAAGAGTTCATTTGTTAATAAAAAATAACAAGTAACTGGTCACTAAAACGTAAAGTATCCAAGTGCTTAGCAACTTTATATAAAAAGGAACAAGAAGACAACATAAAACAGTGGAAAAGATGAGGGAAAAAGAATAAAAGTTAATATAAGATAGAAAATAAGAGAGGAAAAGAATAGAAGATAGTTAAAGATAAGAAAGGAAAGATAGCAAGATCCTAAGCTAAGATGCTAAACAAAGATAAGAAAGGAAAGACAGCAAGATCCTAAGCTAAGATGCTAAACAAAGATAAGAAAGGAAAGACAGCAAGATCCTAAGCTAAGATGCTAAACAAAGATAAGAAAGGAAAGACAGCAAGATCCTAAGCCAAGATGCTGAACAAAGATAAGAAAGGAAAGACAGCAAGATCCTAAGCTAAGATGCTAAACAAAGATAAGAAAGGAAAGACAGCAAGATCCTAAGCTAAGATGCTAAACAAAGATAAGAAAGGAAAGACAGCAAGATCCTAAGCTAAGATGCTAAACAAAGATAAGAAAGGAAAGACAGCAAGATCCTAAGCCAAGATGCTGAACAAAGATAAGAAAGGAAAGACAGCAAGATCCTAAGCTAAGATGCTAAACAAAGATAAGAAAGGAAAGACAGCAAGATCCTAAGCTAAGATGCTAAACAAAGATAAGAAAGGAAAGACAGCAAGATCCTAAGCTAAGATGCTAAACAAAGAGTTTAGCAACAAGAGTAACAATAAGAAAAGAACATCAAACAGGAACATCAGAAAATGAAGATCAAAAACAAAAATGAAGATCAGCACGAACATGAGCTAGATCACTTAGAAACTAGTTTTCAGCTCCATTATTTAGAAATGAGTTGTACATTTTTTTATTATATAAGGCAAATATTATTTATAGATAGGTATGCATGGTTAGTTATAAGTATAAATATTAGTTTGGACATAAGTAAACATTTACTCAATTCAGACTTGCTACACATGCAGACTGTATTAATTCTCCAAGGGATGGAATAGGTTTAGTGGTTTGCCAAGAAATTTTTTTTCAATTGGTTTTGATGATCACACTCTTCCTAAAAGTTTTATCATTTTTGGGTATTAATCTAAACTATTATTATCTGAGAGTGTAACTGTTATTGTTTGTTATTATTATTGTTTGTTATTATTGTTTGTTATTTCTTGTTTAATCTTTTTTAAAGTTTGGACTCCTAATGACATCCTTGTCACAGTTTTTCAAAAATGTTTACCTGAGTATTCTTGTGTGCTCTTGAAATTAATTTTTTAATCTTGTATGCCTTCCTGCTTGTAATCAGCATCTGTTATTTCTAGTTTCCTGCTTGTAATCAGCATCTGTTATTTCTAGTTTCCTGCTTGTAATCAGCATCTGTTATTTCTAGTTTCCTGCTTGTAATCAGCATCTGTTATTTCTAGTTTCCTGCTTGTAATCAGCATCTGTTATTTCTAGTTTCCTGCTTGTAATCAGCATCTGTTATTTCTAGTTTCCTGCTTGTAATCAGCATCTGTTATTTCTAGTTTCCTGCTTGTAATCAGCATCTGTTATTTCTAGTTTCCTGCTTGTAATCAGCATCTGTTATTTCTAGTTTCCTGCTTGTAATCAGCATCTGTTATTTCTAGTTTCCTGCTTGTAATCAGCAACCTGTAATTAGCAACCTGTAATCAGCAACCTGTAATCAGCAACCTGTAATCAGCTTCCTGTAATCAGCAACCTGTAATCAGCAACCTGTAATCAGCATCTGTTATTTCTACTTTTAAAACTCTAGAGACCACTCTAATCTTTCTGACTTTAGTCTTTGTACTAAGTTTTAGGTTTTTGTTCTTTTAATCATCTAGTTCTTGATATCTTGATATCCAATAACTTACTTTCAGACAAGTAATTTTTGATCTTCTCATTTTAATGCTGTATTGTTAGCAGTGTGTTATTCTGACAGTTAATTGTTAATTTAATTATTAATTATTAATATAGGTTTTTACAGTTAATTGCTAGTCTGAAAGTTTTATTATGCTTCAGATAGAAATGATGAGTCATCCTGGGCTGTTGTTCTTGATACTAAAATCTTTTGATAAAGTTCTGCATGCTTGTTTTCTCTATATGTTTCATTATGCAGGAAATATTTTCAAAATATTGATTTTCATCTTTAAATATAAAATAAAAACATAAGAATTTTTAAAATTTTTAAAGTTATCTTCAATAGTCAATATTCTTTTTTATTTCCATTAGTGTAGACTAATGGAAATAAAAAAGAATGTTTTTTATTTCCATTCTTTTTTATTTCCATTAGTGTTATGTATTGATGCATCTGTAGACTCTTGTATATCTTTTTAGATTATTTTTTACTTTTTACCTTTTCTGGAAAGCATATATAAAATCATTGCAAGATCTGCCAAAAAAGACCTTGTTATGTGATTGCAAGATCTGCTGAAACAGGCAATTTAATAATAAATTTAGTTATAAAGTAAAACTAAATTAAAAATTTTTATAAGTAGAAGTATAAAAAAGTTTATTTAACTTTCTGTTTTTTATAAATTAAAAAAAGTTATTTCACAACTGCAGTAAAAATGTTTTTTTAAAACAACTAATTATTGCCTAATTTCAAATGACTGTTTAAATAATTTCAAATGACTGTGTAAATAATTTCAAATGACTGTTTAAATAATTTCAAATGACTGTTTAAATATTCCAATAGAAAACAGTTTTAGTGTAACATAACTTAATGCGAAGTTTAGCCATAAAACAGTGTAACACTTCTTAACATAGCCTGTAATGGTTTTTTATTGTGCTTGATGTCTTCTTAAATCTGACTCTGTTTTTATTATTCATGCCATCTTTTAGACTTAAAAAAAACTTATTGTTAACATAAATGGGCCATCTCTAACAGTAAAACTAAAATAAATTTTTGTATCAGCTAACATAATTTTTTCTTTCAATAAATCAGGCATCAAAACTATTTGGCATTAAAACTTTTTCTTATATAGATTGTATTGGTTATGAAAATCTTAAGTCATTACATTCTGAGAGGAAATTTAAATGCTGCATGTCATATTTGTGTCAAATTGTAGAGATGAGTAAATGCTATGTTTAAGTACAAGTTAAATGATCATGCAAATATTTGCTTGTTTTTCTTGGCATGTAACAAAAACGATTTTTTGCTGGTTAACACATTTAACTATGCTTCAAAAAAGTTAAAATTTAGGATTAATGAGACTCAGAGAAAGTTGCCACCAGGAATGTTGATTGTGTCAGAATTTTTAAAACTAGATTTTTGCCTTACTTTTAAATATGTTTTATTTAACTCAATCTTTATTATCATTAACTTGACTGAATTATTAGTATAAATTTTGATGTTATTTTATAAAGTTGATTAGTTTTACAAACTGATTTACTATAAGTTGATTGGTATCTATGGTTTCTAGAGCATCTCATATTTTTAATTTATTTTTTATAGCTATGCAGCAGATTCCCCTGAGCTTCATCATAGGCGACTGGGAGATTTAGCATTTTTGATACAACATTATGAACTGGCTTACAGTTCTTATCATTCTGCAAAACGAGAGTTTAACAATGATCATGCTTGGGTATATTTTGCTGGTGCTTTGGTAAATTCTTTTACTCTTTTTTTAATTTTGAAATTTACATGAGGTTTAATGTTTTAAATATTTTCAAAACTTCTTGTTAGGAAATGGCATCTGTGTCAGCATTTATGTTAGGTGCTGCACGAGTTTATCCAGTTCATTATTTTGAAGCAAGCATCTCAACATATCTTAATACATGTCGGTGAGACTTAATTGCAAAATATTTATTTTGAAGCTCCAAAAGTATATTTAATTTTTTTATTATAGTTTTCAATATTTAATTTAAAAAAACATTTTGCAGCATGCCAGAATTAGCGACTCGTGCATGTTTATTAAGTACCACAGCACTTCAAGCTAAAGAAATGTATCCAGAAGCAACTGTTGAGTTTATTAAACTAACTAATGAGGTTGGTTCTTCATCATTTTTTAAATTTGTTTTTATCTTTATGTTTTTATGTTTTTCATTATAAATTAAGTTATTTAATTAATGATAAAATATAATTTAAAATATATTTACAAACTAAATCAGTTTTAGTTTAGCGACTTTGCAAGCACATAACCTCAAAAAACAGTTTCTTTGTCCAGTTAGTCTTGTTGACTCAATTAGTCAAATAGTTAGTCTCATTGACTCAATTAATCAGTTGAGTCAATTTTGAAAAAATCCTTTTGAGTTGCTTGACCATATTTACTACTTGTTTATTGTATGACTCATGTATTTTTTTTTTTAAACGATTCTTTCTAAAGGCTTGAAAGGTTATTTTTATTGTGAAACTTGTTACAATTGTATTATATAAAATAGTCTAATATAATACAGGCTAATAATACAATCTAACACACACACAGTGATAATAATACAGTCTAACACACACACACACACACACACACACACACACACACACACACACACACACATACACACACACTCATCAAATATATTTTACATGAACAGTTTTTTAAGAAAATGAAGAATAGTTCAGCCAGGAATAAAGTTATAATTAGAAATAATTTTTAGTTTGAAATACAGTTAAGGCAAAACCATTAAAAAGAATAATAGAAAAGTAGAATTGTATTTGTTAATAGAGAAGTAGCTAATGAAAAGTAGAAAGTGGAAAACACCAGCACAAACTATGTGTAATGCAAAAGTCTTTTCCAGTTTTGCATTTTGTGTTCAAGTCAAATAAAACAGAGGAGCAAAAAGCAGTTTTTAAAATGTTGATAAATAATCCATAATTAAAGCTAATATATAAAAAATGAATTAGCTCCTTGTCATTGTTTATTCTAAATTGATATTGCTAAGTTGTTTTAATATATTAACCAATGTTAATATATTGAAACATTTGGATTTGTTGCCTATTTTTAAAGTTACTTTTAACATTAATGTTCTTTATTGCACAGTTTTACTTTAGGAATTGATATTTAAATGTAATGAACCAAATCATTTAACAGGGTCAATGAACTGTTTGACTATATTTTGGCACAGTGATATTAGAATAACAATGAAATAGTTAGAAATTTTAAATCAAATTTGATAGGTTATTTGATTGCAAACATTTTTCAGCTGTGTTCTTTGATTGACCCAAATATGTTTGTATGACCCAAAAATGTTGTTTATATAAAAATATGTTGTGTGGGTTTAATAAAAATTATAGTTATTTTTTTCAACACAGTTTTCCACGTTTTTAAAAAGTGTTTTCTCCATAGCTTATTAAATAATTGACAGTTGCTATATCTTTCTTAGTGAGGAAAGCATGAATAACTTTCTTAGTGAGAAAAGCAATAACTTTTTTAGTGAGCAAATCTCTTATTGCAATGAGTTATAATGGAATTTGATTTACTCCTGCAGAGAAACATTCTTCATATTTGTTGCATTAACTAGATTAATAAAGTAAATATCTATAAAAATATAAATATGTTTTTTTTTCATCTTTGTTAGGATTCAGATTTAAGAAGTGGATTGCTGTTAGAACAAGCTGCTCATTGCTTTTTGCACAATAATCCTCCATTAGTTCGTAAATATGCTTTTCACATGATTCTTGCTGGTCATAGATTTAGTAAATCAGTTCAAGTAAAGTTTTTTTTTTCTTTTTACCATTATATACTTTTTTTCTTTAAAGTTAAGTTTTTAATAAAATTTTTATATTTAAAACGAGTTATGTACAAAATATGAAATAACTTTTAGAGGCGACATGCTTTAAGATGCTATCTAAATGCTCTTGCAGTGTATCAAAATAAAAATTGGCATCTTGCAGAGGTATTTTGTTTATTTATTAAACCGAAAAAAAAAAATGAATTTGTAAATTTGGTTAATTTTTTATTGTTTAAAATCTATTTGAGCTCTCTTTATATCTATATGATATATCTGAGCTATCTTTATATCTATATGATATATCTTTTTTTCTCTAAATAAGCAACTAAATTTCAGTTTTTCTTTAATTTCTTATTTTTTTATTTATTTTTTATTTTTAATTACTCCCCTCCCCAAAGCCGAGAATTCCACTACAGTTTAGGAGATTACTTTTGTGGATACAACCCTCTCATAACTAGTAAGTGACCGGGGTTGATGTTTGACCAGGGCCAGGGTTAAATTATAGCCGGGGCCGGGTTTGTGACCGCGGCTGCAATAAACATACATCCTAAAGTTTTTTTTTTTTTTTTTGTTTAAAATTCATATTATATTTTGAATATATAATATTATATATGAACATCATTATGATCAACATGATCATCATTACCATCATTATCATCATCATTAGCATCATCATCATCAACAGCATAAAAAAGGAAGACTAAAGCCTGGTGGTGATGATGATGATAATGAGGATGATTATCATCATTGGGCTTTAGCCTCTTTTTTTATGCTGTTTCTCTAATATAAAAAATCTAGAGCATTTTTATTCTTAAATAAAGCTCATTCATACAATATATAAGGCACTCTCTTCAAGTTTTCTTATTTCTACCACTACGATTTTCTACTGAAGATGCTACCTCTCTACATGCTGATACCTAAATTACTTAAATCTTTTCTAACAAATGTTATTCGATGCAATCTTTTTTCTAATCTGTCTAAGATTATGCCTCCTTTTCTTGTCTTGCTAGAGTCACACCATACATCCATCTGATCATCTTCTCCTTTGGTAAATTCTACACCATAAATATGAAAGGGTATTGTATGCCAGCATCCAAATAGCAAACATAAATGTTTATGTTCATAATATGTATGCATAAGGTGCATCTCACAAGCTTTTATTCCTTCTGGACTAAAAGTTTAGAAGCTTTTATTCCTACTCTTCAATTTTAAGTAAAACCTCATTCTACTCCATATTCTTCACCATCTTGAGCAGTTGCTTTATTAATCATTTTTTTCATTTTTTTTTACAATACATCTCTCTTAAGAACAAATGTCCTTTTATTATTCCAAGAAGCCAATGTAAAAAGGTCCCGTTCGATGTTAAGCTCTGTTATTCTCAGTTTACAAAATCTTTTATCTTATATCAGATGTTAGGTTCTAGAGACTTTTAGTTAGTATTCAACAGTGTCATTAACTAAAGTAAGTCGAACATTTAATCATATTAATTATATAATATTTAATAATATTTAACTTTTAAAAAGTTCTAAATAAATGGTTTCAGTTTTTCAAAACTCTAGAAAACACTTTGACCTCTCAAACTATCTTACAATTAGTTTTCATCTGTTATTATTTTCTTTATATAAAGGTTTTGAGATTATTAAATTGCTTCTTACTAACTGCAGTAATAAAGTTATTCTTGAAGACCTACACTCGTCTTTATTTTAAGTAACTTTAAGGGTACCACAAGGTATCTTGTGGTATTCTTAAATCTTTGCTCCTGTTTTGTTTCTTATCTACAATATCAATCTTCATGAAAATTTATCATCTAAAGTGGCTCTATTTGTTGACGACTCAACTTTATTACTTAGAACAAGCAGCTGAATTTTGATCTGATCTCTCTTCTGTAACAGCGTAAGGCTCATGGATTTAAATTTTGGACCCTAAGTCTGCAATTTTTGTTAGGCAACAAAACTCATTTATTTACTGTAAAAAAATATTGCAATAATGTTGGTATATCCTATATTGATAAATAATAACCCACTTACTTTCAGTCAAAGTCTAAAGGCACATTGTAAATGTAATGCGGTTGTGGTGTAGTGGTAAAGCGCTCACATCATAAGCAAGAGGTACCGAGCTCGATCCCCACCATGTCTCTGGTAGTATCGCACTCAATTTGTTTCATTGCCCAGCGGCCTGGATTGTCAAGGTTTGTGTTTCGGAGTTATATAGTTGAGCAAGGGTTATAAACACAATTAAGTAGTCTCCTTGTCTGTTGTGACTTTTTTAGCCTTGGGAAGGTGAATCAACATAAAAAAAATAATGATAATTATAAGACTTGCTTGATCACTCAAAAATCTCAAGAAATATTGGCATTTTATATAAGACCAGACAAATCTTAGACAAATCTACACTAACTCAGCTATATTTTGCATTCATAAATAGTTATTTATCTTATGGTAAATGTAATCATAAAATTGTAATATATAAAGTATTGTAAATTTTTTCTAGCCTCGGCTATCAACCCCTGCTAAATCTTATAGTTTAGCCGGGGCTGCGTTTAAAAATAGTCTCATTTTTAGGCGGGGCCAGGGCTCTGGTCACTTACTACTCATAATTCTATAACTCCAAAACACAAATCTCAACGAACAATGTTGCTGCGCAGATTATTATTATATGCCCTAATGATGATGATGATGATGATGATGATGATGATGATGATAATGATGATGATGATGATGATGATGATGATGATGATGATGATGATGATGATGATGATGATGATGATGATGATGATGATGATGATGATGATGATGATGATGATGATGATGATGATGATGATGATGATGAGCACATGCAAAATAAATAATGCCAAGAGAATAATAACATAAATGCACAAAAAAAAGATGTAGAATTCATTTTTCTAACGTTGTTGGTGTAGAATTGATTTTTCTAACGTTGTTGATGTAGAATTCATTTTTCTAACGTTGTTGGTGTAGAATTCATTTTTCTAACGTTGTTGGTGTAGAATTCATTTTTCTAACGTAAACAAAAAAACTTATATAATTTCTTTTACGAAAAAGAAATTATATAAGCACTAAAATAAAAATAAAAAATAAAAACTTAAACTCTAAGCAAAACTTTTTGTTACGTTTTTAATTACATTTGAAATAAATTTTATTAAAACTTATCTTTTTAAACAATTTATTAAAGTTAAGCAAAACACTTTTTAATTCTTAAAAATTTAAAACTATTTAAAACCATAACTGTATACACACTAGGGTACAAATCAATCAACATATTCATTAGTTAAGTTTAATAAATTATTCTCCTAAATACTGCATTAAATATAATTAGCAATAGTTTTCTGCTGATTATTTTCCTTTTAGAGAAAAACCAGCTTTGCAGCTCTACCCATTCCCATGTCTATTTCTAAGTTTGAATGCATCTAGCCATTAGGGGGAAGCATACATTCAACTTGTTAATTTGTTAGCTACTGACTAGTAATAGATACTATTAGACATACGTAATGAACATTTACATAATGGGCATAGTTAGATATATAATGAAAATACTTGATATTTAATTAAATAAGTAATAAACAGATTTAAATTAACTTTTTTTTTTAATAGACCGTTATTTATATTTTCTGTCCATAATTTTTTTTTTTTTTCAGTAACATTTAAATGAAATTTTTCTGCAGAAACAGATGATGATCCTAAGAGTTTATTTGTAGTATCAAATTGACTGTTAGGAAAAGCAGTTTAAAATTATTCTTTTAAAAATATTAATATTAGTTAAATAATACTAATTACAAAAATAATTCAGGTCAGGTCAGGTTTTCCTGCTACTGGTAACATGTAACCCAGTACAACCTGCTCCATGTCCTGCTGCCTTGTAGGATACGCTTTTTTAGGCAAAGGCTAGGAGAGGTTAACTCCGATTTAAAACACCCCCTGCCTTGGGGCTCTTGGTTGAGTAAAGGCTAGAGATGGTGTCTCGATAAAAATACTCATCTTGGGCAGATGTTACATGCATCCAGCTGCTGTCTTGTAGAAGGCCTCCTAGGCAAAGACTTAAGGGGTAAACAGATTCTATCTGTTGACCAGCCTCGCACCCCTTCCTCATCTATTAGGCTGGCGCAGATGTATTTTTAATACATTGTTTCCAGTTTAGGATGTTGAACGCTGGATCTTCTTGACTCAATGCGTGGGTATTGCTTTTGTCTCTATTTTTATGCAACTCATTCTATTATCTCCTAATGAGGGTACAGCTCTAAAACTCAGTTTTATGGTTCTGAGGCCGGCTGGTAGTCAGGTTTCCCGAACTCTGTGGTAGCTCTCAGAGAGGCTGATTCCATCAACAGCCGAAAAATATCAGAGTACTAACAGTGCCATGTTGCGCATGGATGGTGTCCCTGTTTGTACTTTTGGTGTGCATTGCAGAGGCCACATTTGGAGCCCTTTGCTACGGCTTAGGGTTTATTAATAGTAATGAGGCTATTGCTTAGTTGTTAAATAGTGTACTGAGTACTATCTATACTTAAGTCAAGTTCTTTATAAATTTAAAATGACTAAAGTACCTAAAACTAAAAAACACAAAAAACCATTGTCATCACCAAGTTCTCTAAACCTATCATTTACTAATATTCGTGGTCTTCGAAGTAACTTTTCTTCTGTTGAGTCTTATCTCTTGCAAAGTTCACCAGACCTACTTGCTCTTTGTGAGACTAATTTGAGTTCAGCTGTCCCATCTTGTGATCTTAGTGTTGATGGTTATCTTCCTTTAATTCGTAAAGACTCCAATAATCACATGCTTGGCCTGGGCATCTACATTCGTAAGAACTCACCCATTTGTCGTGAAACTAGGTTTGAATCTACAGACTATTCATTTATGTGCTTTCGTTTAGCACAACTTCACTCTATCGCCTTTCTCTTTGTTCTATATCGCTCTCCTTCATCCCAAGATTGCACTATTCTTGATGTTATTTCTGATCAAATTGACCAAGCCCTCTCTCTTTATCCATCGGCCAATATTGTCGTTGTTGGTGACTTTAATGCCCATCACACCGATTGGCTTGGCTCTAGTGTCAGTGACTCTGCTGGCGTTAAGGCCCTCAACTTTTGCCTTTCTCAATCTCTAACTCAAATAGTCAACTTTCCAACTCGTTTTCCAGACAACCCTAA